AGTCCAATATGGCCTGTCAACTTAAATTATCTGTTTGTCTTTCTGTTTACCATATCTATCTGTCTACAGTTTTTATTTTTCTCTGTGAAGTTTAGTTATTGAATCCCATGTTCCCTTCTGGAAGGAATTTCTAACAGATGATTATTTCTGTTGATATGTTGATGATTTGATAATTTATAGCTTGTAAATTTAAGAAACTTGAAGAAATCTCTGGGAAGCAGAGCAGATCATGAGGGAAGAGAAACAGGAGGTTCTAATACCTTATACAGTAAAGGACTGTGATTTCATTAAAATGCATTTTTAATCTTATATATTAACTATAATAATAGTTATAATATAATATAATATAATATAATATAATATAATATAATATAATATAATATAATATAATATAATATAATATAATATAATATAATATACTCTGAATATAGTATAATATAAATAAATAGTATACCTATCCTCTGAATAATTTATTTTTACATCTTCTGAATCTGTAATGAAGTCTAGCTTTGTCACCTGTGCTATGGTGACAAAGTGAGCAGTTTATACAGACACAGCCAGAATCACAGAATGGGTCAGGTTGGAAGGGACCACAGTGGCTCTTCTGGACCAACCTCCCTGCTAGGGCAGGTCATTGCTCTCTCTGCCATACCTATTCATGGAAAGCTGTCTTCTACTTTCTGCCCTCATAAAGACTCTGCATCAGATTTGACAGCATAAAAAAGACAAAAGATTTGCAAAAAAAGACAAAAAAATGTAGTCCATGGAATCAGAAGTCATTAACTCAACGTCAAGACTGAAAAAAATCATTAAGTTATCCAGGCTGAATTTATCAGTTTACAAATGTTCTTTCCATATGCTTTCTAGAGTTTTGTGCACACTGATTTACAGTAAGTTAATATCTTCAACTGGAAAATATTTCACAGAATTCAAATCCAGTCTGATAGTGTGCATACACAAATACAGAAATGGAACAAGAACAATCTTGATTCAAAAGTAAATTCGTAAATAAAGAATAAAATTTTAATTATTAATTAGTAGAGGTAAAATGTATCTGGATCTTTAACCACATCACATACCACACCTCAGTAATATGAATATTATAAACAAATAAACAAAATAAACTTGTGGTTTGTTTTTTTTTCCTTAAAATAGCACAGATGATCTTTTAAGTCTTATTTTGGCTGGAACCAAGTGTGTAAGTTCCAAAACACCACAAAAATAGTGCTACAGCATAAATCCACTTATCCAAATGCAAGACTTTCTTGGAAAAAAAAGCCTTACTTCAAAATAATTAAAGCCTGAACATTACAGAAAAGCAGGTAATTACAGCACTTTAGAAATCCATCCAAAGTGATCAATGACCCTTCCAGCCTTCCAGAGGTACAAATTCATGAACAAACCTGCAGGCTTAATGTTCTATTCTAAAACCAGCTATGGTGACAGAGTGGCAGGTACCTTTTCATCCTTTTATGGTACTTCACTTTAGAAACATCAATTTAAAATGATCCCTTGAATATTAGCTCATGAATTCTACAAATAACTCAGAGAAAAACCCTAAACAAGGTCAAATTAAAAGCTTTAAAAAAAGAAGAACTAAATGTAGAGAGGGTGTAAGGAAGCATGTGTGTTTTGTTTGTTTGTTGGGACTTTTTGGTTGCTCGGTTGTTTATTTTGTGCCAAAAAAAATGTGATTGTAATTGTGCCAAACTCTTTATTCATCATTAAATATGTACATTTGTCCTTAGTTACATTTTGTATAGATATATTGGTATAGATATTTTGGTATAAACACAACATTAAGAACTGCTGTTTATTTTACAGCTGAAGATGAAACTTCAATCAAAGACCGTAAAGAAATTCCTGTTCCTTAGATGTCGGCTTACAATAATATTACAAAGCAGGAATTATATATATTATTCAATTTAAAATCTAAAAATTTCCCTGTGGACTTTCACAACTAAATGAACCTATTATCTAGTAAGTTTAACCAGTGATAACTGCATATTGTCTACAAGTTACATTTGTTTCCAACGTTTATATGTATGGGTCTAATCTAAGACAAAAATAAGGTTCTTTATTATGCAAAATGAATCCTATATAGGATATCCTATGGCTGAAAAGCAAAATGAAATGTGAGATCAAACTTGGTGTGTTGGTTATTTCTCTTCTTTAGTTAGTGAAGTTTGTATCAATAATTCTTAGGCGTACATTCTAGCTCCTTTATAGTCACTATTCTGTAGCGAGGCTCTCCATAGTATTGAAGTCACTTAGTGCAAAACTCAAAACATACATAATCATACACTGCTTTTAATTTCTGATCTAAATGTTTAATAATCATGTTATTACACACACAGAGTTTAGGAGGCAGCATGTTGTGCTGTTTCCTGGCTTGGTTGCTAGCTGGGGTTAAACTATGACAACGTTTAACATATACACAGATGCTACAAAGCAGATTCCACGTATTTATCTATTTTGGACAGAGTTAAAAAAACTACACACATTTGCTGTTTTAAGGGCTGAAACTATACCTTTCACCAAAATTCAGCTGTTTTCATATTGGAAAGGTATTTAATTTTATCTGGAAACTTTCTGACATTGGAAATAGAACGACTGTAGTTTCTCATTATTTTTGCTGCCAGAATCTATGCTTGGTTGCTCAACTAAAGACCTTATACTGCTAATTACTACCACATGCCCATATCCCAAGCAAAGGAAAACTTATTGGTTCTGACAATCCATTCTCTCAACACTGAATTCCAAATGAAAACTTCAATTTTGGCCAAACATAACATTTCATCAATCTTGTTCTACTGACTGCAAAAGCAACATCAAACAAGGCGTGCTAATGGCTTTTTACTGTGCAGTTCCCAAGCTTTAGATTCTCTGATGAAAGACCCACATGAACAAAGGACATCTTTAAACTACTTAGTAATTCATAATTGAACCAGAAAACAATGCATAAAGTAAATTGAACAGTTTGTACGCTGATGACAGAGTTGAGTTTCAAGCAACAAATTACATGAGCAGTAGAGATCAGCAGAGAAAGCACTGACAACAGAGTGAGATAAAAACAGATAGTGCACATAAAGAAAGACAAAAACGAACAATGGAAAAATAAAATTAAGCACGCCCCAAAGCCAGCAGAAGCCTGTAATCTGAGGTTGAGCTTTTCAGGATGTGAGGTTCTGACTGAAGATCAGGTCCAAATTTAGAGACATCTGAGCAATGCTGGGTACTAGTGACAATGTAGAAGGGGAGGGACGAACTGTGTTTAAAACAGGTTTTAAACACATTCCCCTCTGCTGTAACTCCTTTGGAGATTTGAAAACAGAGGGATATGTTCTAAGTTTGAAAAGCTTCTCTTTGAGAAAACAATGAATATAAATATGAATGGCCTCTGTCACAGATAAGTATTTTGGGAAATTAACAATAATACTCACTCCCAGAAATAAATCAAGGCAAGTTTGTCTAGGTAAGAGATGCACGTTTCCAACATCAGTGTTTGGAGTTTACCTTAGACATTTGAGGGTATCTCAATAAATGCATGTATTGAAGTTTACTGTCTAATGAACAGAAAATAGCATAAATTATATCTAATCTTAAAACTTTGATTTATCTACACAGTGATATAAAACAGTACTCTAGAATTAGCTCTGTGGGACATTTACAGTCTTTCTGCTACACAGAGAGGAGAAATAACCTGATAAAACCATAATCCACTTCAACAAAATGTCGCATGGGTGATGATTTGAAAGGAACGAAGTTAAAAATTATCTTCTTAAAGTAAGAAGAGGGACAATTCATTAGATAAATTTCTTGCAGTACCTTATTTATATCATATGAAAAGGGCTCTCTATATGACTAGGCTTTCAGGGCAAATACACTCTACCAGTGGATGGCACAGAGGTATGTAATGAAATGAAAGACGGCAACACTAAAGGTGATATTGTGCTGTATCGCACCATATCGCCAAGGACATCTAGCTCAGAAAAGGCCATATCCCAGCACGTCCAGGAGCTGGGAATGCCAGAAAGGGCTAGTTTTAACTTGGTCAAGAAAACGAGCACGCTTTCAATAGAAACATAATGAGGTAATGTGGTCCAATAAAATTTAACCTTTGTCACCAGGTAAAAGTAGTAGGTTTGGTGTTTTGCCATACTATTTTGATATTAAGGCTACTGCCTGTTCTTCTTCAGATATTCTTGGTGTGGTACAGGGAAGAGCACTGCTTTAAAATCCCTGGTCACAGATTCTAAAATCAAGAGAGTTTGCAATATCCATGGAAAGTCAAAAAAAAGTTGCATGAGGTCTGAATCTGCTGGTTGGACATTGAGAAACAGAGCTGTTAGGCTTCTGACACAGTCAGTCCAACAGAACAAACTGGTCAATATATAATTCCTATTTTGCATCCAGTAAAACAATGTTTTCTGAAGAACTGAGTTGTCTGAAAATCATGTGAATTATCATTGTCGCTTGGGTAAGATAAAAACCACATGATATTCTGATGCCCAAAATGGTGAAATGACAACTCATCCTAGCTGCAGAAGTTAACTGCATGTGTAACAGCAGCACTTTTCACAAGGTATGTCAGTGTACTCTGAGCGGTATCCAGGTTCTCTTGAAGTAGGGACAAAATGTTGTGACTCGTACCATAGCACAGCCCAGGTCTCTAATCATAGTGTGACAACTCTCCAGTGGTAACATCTGACGTCAAAGAATACAGCCTTGTAAGCTGCGAGTCAGCTATTACCACCTTCAGGGGCTCTTTAGAGTCCCACAAACCACACCTGGTCTTTTTGGACTTACTTTCTGCCTCGGGTTGAGTTAAAAGTTCCGCCGTATTTCTTCCGATTAAGGATGAGAGCAGCAATTTCTGGCACGTAGCGAGCAAACATTGCCTACATGCATGAAACAAAAACACAAAAAAAAAAAAAGAAAATGGCATGCAGAGAGTGTTCTACTGCAGCAGAGGCAGCAGAGCCTCTTGGGATACTTACTTTCTTCCACTAACCGCACTATAGGAACCACCATATTTCTTGCGGTTTCCTATTAACTCTATGATTTCAGGGACGTAGCTGGCAAACATGGCCTAAGAAGAAGATAGGAGACAGAAGAAAAGACTAAAAAGAGAGGCCAAAGAAAGGGGGATGATGAATATTTTCAGAAGATATATATTTTTAAGATCTGAAAATGCAAAAGAATTAGATCTATGCAGTTGTTTAAAAGGAAAATTAAAAAAAAAAAAAAAAGAAAAAGTTCTTATCAAACAAAACAAGAGGGCTCAATGTAAAAGTTTGTCTTGGAGAAGGTATACATCTTCTAAACAAAAAAAATGGTCAAAACAGAAAAAAATGGACATATAAAACAAAACAAGAACAAAATTACTTCAAACTGGTATCTAATCCCAAAAAACAGTTATGTCTATTTCTTCCTGAAGAGGGGAGGGGAAAAAAAACCTATGCAAGCCCCATTGCAAAAAAAAACCCAAAGCCAAGTATTACTGTTACATTTCTGTTTTAAAATATAGACTCTTCCCCCCCATGGTAAGAATTTAAAAGAAGACAAAAACAAGAGGAAATCAGGGGTTATTTCCCCATCAAGAAACAAAAAAATCACCCCCCACCTCCCCCCCCCCCCAAAAAAAAAAACTTTTCCAAAAGTTCTTGGGTTTAGAAGGATTGGAATAACATGTGATAGAAAAAAAGGTTTTGAGGAGAAAATAAAAATTATTGTGCCATGTTTTGTCCAACAAACAGTTTCCTTGTGGCTGGATACTTCGAAGAGCTACTGCCATTTGACATGCCAATGAACAGAGATGGGAATGCATATATGTAATGCCCATACATATCTGTGTGTGTCTCATATATGGCATTCATAACATTGGTTACATACATACCACCTCTGTGAGATGTATGTATACGTGAAATCAATGGAGGAGGGTAAAGTAACAATATACATATGTGTGTATGGGAACAATTCACCTTACGAGTCACCTGCATTTACCTTGCACAGCATAAATACTAAAATTAACTTTGCTGGTTTAGAGAACGTGGCAAGAGGTGTAATAATATTCCTAGCACTGACAGATAATGGAAAAGTTGACAAGACAAATAGCAACTTGGGTGCTATTTACATACAAGGCAAAGAAGACAAGAAATCGCTGATATAAAAGGATACTGGTTATTGTCATGTGATAAATTGTGAGCTAAAATTGTACTACATGACATGAAAGAGAATGTGGTTTGCCATCATCTGAATCAGGCAAGCTGCTCTTTAAGGCAGTCCAAAGCCACAGTGTTTGTTGGAATTCTGGGAAGGAACACAGAAGGGTGGGTAGGACTTCTGAAACCGCAAAGTGCCTTTAAATATCAATAGCAACCTCCAAAAATGCTCTAAATCAATCACTAAGAAGTAGAGGACTACAAATAATACTGTATGTTGAAACATTAAGGCACTTCATGCATTCACATGCATTACTCATTTAAATGGATTAGAAAAATTCTAATTCTGGACTAATACTGGACTAATTTGACAAGCTATTTGCCAAAAATATTTATCTATAGAAAAAAAATGCATATTAAACATATTTTAATGTTTTATAATAAATTTTAATTTACTAATACAGATATTATTGTTTCCTTAATTACAACACTGAGATATACAGGAACAAATTTTAAGGTAGCTGGAGTATTAAGAAGAAAATAAAGAGGAATTTTTACCAGTCCCCCAAGGATGAAGAAGACCATGAAAAGGCGACCAAGGGTTGTTTTTGCATAAACATCTCCGTAGCCAACAGTGGACATTGTAACCATCAGCAAATAAACACATTCCCAATATGTTAGCGGTTGATTATTTTGGAAATTTTCCCATGGATCCCCTGAGTTCTCCACCTACAATGTAGAAGAAAACATATAATGAATTCTATTAATTATAATTATCTCTAATTAACCCCAAATTCACTCTACTCATACATGTATGTGCCCCTGTGTGCGTATAGATATATCATTTGGCATACAATACGAACTCTGAATCCTTTCCTGTATTTTATTTTGATCAAATACAGAACCTGACCCTGTGCCAAATAGAGCACTGCAGTTCTTTTGCCAATATACACAGCCTTGCTACTCAGATAATTTATGGGAAGTATCTTTTCCAGGCACCACTAAATAATGTAACTTACTCATGTAGTTAAGTAAGTTCATTTAATAAAAATGTGTTCAGAATATTTTCAGAGTAAATCTTACTTTTAATGCAATTATACTCCTCAATGTTTTTGTTTTAAAAGACTCTGTAGCTATTGAAGGCATTACTGGCACCTTTAGTGGTATGCTACTATTTTTTCAAAAAGCCAGCCACTGTTGAGACAAAATTATAAATTTGTCAGTGGGAAAGGAGTAGGCAATTTAAAAATTGTTCCATGGTAAAAAGCTGAAGTTTGAGTATTCCTACAGTAGAATAGAAAAGCTTTTGTTAAAAAACAAAGGAAAAAAAAATTCCAAATCCTAGAAAATAGCAATCCCTTGGTCTTGTTGTAATATTTAAGGGGTATTGTGCTCTGTATGTTCAAAAATAGAAAAAGGTATTGTTTCCAGATAGAAGTGCTACATTGGCCGAGAGGAGTGTAAAAGTCCATGAATGATAAATATATCATAAATTAAAACATTCAGAATCCCTGTGCAGCTTTAAGGGCGAGCTGAAGAAGCAAGAAAAGGAGGAGTCTGGATTTAATCCTCCGAGGCTGGATGGAGCTGTGTGGAGCCAGCCAAGCGGCTCCGGAGTGCCGGGGGCTCCTTCGGGGAGTTCCCTGGCGAACACCGCCACCTGCTGCCCAGCCCGGCCCCGCCGTGCCCCCCAGCCCGGGGATGCCCAAAACACCGCCCCAGATCCGGGGGACAGAGAGCACAACGAGCCCCGGGGAGCCGGGGGAGAGGAGAACGAGCCCTGGGGAGACAGAGGAGAGGAGAACGAGCCCTGGGGAGCCGGGGGAGAGGAGAACGAGCCCTGGGGAGCCGGGGGAGAGCAGAACGAGCCCTGGGGAGCCGGGGGAGAGCAGAACGAGCCCTGGGGAGCCGGGGGAGAGCAGAACGAGCCCTGGGGAGCCGGCATGGCTGCACTGCAGAGCCCCGATGGGGACGGCAAAAGCAGCTCAGAGAGCCCGAGCTCCGCCGGAAAAACTCAATCCAGCCTTTTCAGGGGTACTCACCAAATGTATGAACCCAGCTGCTGTCAGCCACGTGCTGATAAATATAGAGCACAGATTCACTAGCTTGATGGAATTACTGGAAATAAACAAAGCAAACAGGAACTTAGACTAGAATTTGTCACGCTTTTTTTTTATAGGTACCTCTGTACAACTGCATACTTTCGAGTCAAGAACATGATGATTATTTCCCAAAAGAAACTTATTTCAAAAATTTATTCAAAACTTTATGTGTAATATGTATTGTGTTTCCTTTGAAGAGCTCACATTTTCATAATGTAGAAGAATTGAGACTCCTCAGTTCAAAGAGAAAGTCCCGAGGTATGAGAGCAGAAAGACAAATAGAAACCCTGGCTACATCAGCAGTCAGAAACAAACTAACAGAAACAAATAATGCTTTTTCCCAGGTAATTTGGTTTGCCTCTCAGTACACTCACTTCATTTTTCACTGATACACACTCAGAATTATTCACATGTAAATACATAAAAAAAATACGTGACAAAATTGTGATTCCCAAATTAAAGAACTAAGGTATTTTTCAGCTCCTGTGTGAAGTCCTAGGTATTTTTCATATTATTCTGCTTCCATTAACTCCTATGGACCTCTTTATGGAAAATTCAAAATTAGAGTATTTAATACTTCCCATTTTTCTCTAAAAAAAAGAAAAAAGTATAATTTAAACCTACCAAAAACTCTGCAAATATATTTTAGTCACACTGAATAGTATTTTCCCTACTGTAGCAAGAAGTGATTTTTAAGCAAGGACCTCACTCAGTTCAGCAGGAACATACCATATTTAAAATCTTCTGGAAGAAATACAAATAAAACATGCTCCCCCTCTTCTCACAAAAGTCACTGTCCTAAGAAGGATATTCAACAAAAACACAAGGAACTGCAGTCCATGTATGACTGTATTTAAACAATCTTACCCATTCATGGTTTTGAAAATATTTATAAGAAGACATAACACCTCAGAAAAAAAACCCTACAATTATCCTTAAAGCAAAACATTAAAAAATATAAAAATTGGGCAAAATTCACTACCAGTGTTAGCAGTAGTAGTTTTGTGGTAGAATTAATCGATGTCTCTGTTTATATCTATTTTGAGGACAATAAAGATGCATTTTTTTCCACACAAAATTTGGAAAAGAACCTGCAAAGTTAACCAGAACAGCTCCTTTAAAAGTATTTTTTAAAGTTTCAGTTAGTGGACATAGGGGGTACAAGAAACAGAATATGACTGGGTAATATGTCAGATGATGAAATGAACACTGTACTCAAAATAATATATCAGCAGCCTTGTCTTTAGTGTTCACCAACATCACACATTCCCTATTGCTCTCCTTCTTAAACTATGGTTAAGTCCCTATTTTCTTAGTGAAAATGTTCATTTATAGCATAGGACCCTAAGCAATGGGATCCTAGATTAAACAAAATCATAGGAGTGATGCTGATGCAATGCTCCTTTATGAAAGGCTGAGCATCATCCTTCACCTGAACTTAGAAAACAAGATGTTCCTGACAAAAAAAAATAAATAAATGAAGTGTCTGTTGGTCTCTTCATATTACTGTATTACCCATTAATAGTAACTATTTACATTACCTGTTGGATACATTTCATTTTTGGAGATTTATTAAACACTATACCTTGTCTGTCCTCTGTGAAATACTCCCTGTGTTTCTGCCAGAGTCTAAATATAGATGAAGGATTAGTCATAAACATTTTCCCCCTCTTTAAGCTCTTTCCAACATCTGTGCAAAATCCCTTACTGTGAGCCCTGACTAAGCCTCTGCAGTTTTTTTTAGAAAATATCAGAAAACAATGAAGGAGAGAAATTTTTCAACTGAAAACAGTAGAATTCAATTTCATAAAACACGGGACAAAAATCTTAAATACGTTTAATTTCAAATTAGGGAAACAAACGGGTCCTTGGCAGAGTACAGTCTTTTAAGTGCCACTGTAAAATTTTGTGTAGTCTTACAAGATCTTTTCAAATATATTTAGCTTTTATTTCAGGCATTCTAATAATCACCTAACACTTTGCTAGTCTCTTTACTGACTGTGTTTTTGCATTGTGCAGCTTCTTTCACTGGATTTCACTTTTTGGAATGGCCCTTCTGCTCACTCTGGAAAGAAATGATGTTCCTTTAATCCTTATATCTCAGTCAATAATTCCAGGAGTAATTTTCATTTATAGGTTACAGCAAATGTTTTTCTTTACTGGAGAAAAGAGAAAAGGAGGAGAAAACTTCTCTGCATCTGCACTAAATATCAAAAACACAGCCGTGCCCGGGATACCCTATCATCTTCTCATCTTCTCAGTTGTTAAGTGTTATTAATGCCAAATGCACTGGAATGCCTAGGTCAAATTCATTCCATACCTTTTTCATATAAATACATATCACCTCAAATGGAGAACACTTTCCTATTGCTGAATTTTTAAGTAATAAGAAGTACTTTTTTTTCCCCTACTATAATTTCACAGCTAGTAATAATATACTGAAATTTACTACCCAAATCCAACAATTCAAGTTCTGTCATTGGTTCTTCGACTTGATGTTCATAAAAATCCTAAGATGTTGAAAATTTCAATAATATCTTAAAAGTGGACTGAAAAACATTATAATATCTTAATTCCAGAAGATTTTTAACCACTCTTGAGCAAAATAATACTGCAGTAGTGGGCCAAAAGCATACAATACAGTATGTTGAAGTATTAATAATGGTTTAAGGGCACAGTATGTAACTGATATCACTGACTGAATTTAGGAAAGTAAATTTTACATAAATAACACTAGATTTGTTGAGACTACTAGTTTAACTGCTCTAACTTGTACAAAATATCTCAAGATTCTCCATTAATCACAAGGGCTCAGCATGCTTTATTTTTTTAGGAAGCGAAATAATTCAGAACCAGAGCTCTCAGTTAAGGAGTATTCTTGTACTGTAATAGATGTGTGTGCAGCACATGAACTGCAGTTCTGATGGTGCTTCAGAACACACTGAAAATACAAAAATTTCTCATTGAAGGTTGCAGTACCAGTTAGAAACTAATTTTCTAGCTTGTTGTTTTCTATAAACTAAACTCATGCAAGACATTAAAAGAAACCCCGAGCAGTCACACATCAAATTTATGTCAGGTATAACTAGAAACTTTTCTAAAACAAATTTCATTCTGTTAATTTGTTTTAATTTGACACATCCACAAAACAAAACAAACAAACAAACAAAGAAAGACATTTTCGGAACATTGCTGATGTTCCAAGTGATTTAGTTCATTTCAGGTTATTAAGACAAAAAAGAGAGCAGACGTGACTTTCTGTTGCATTACCAGGAACAAGGAGAGACATAAAAACCTGTTTTGAGGTGGTGACCATTTTTCATTCAAATAATTGATGTTAGTGATGAATTGCTAGGAATGAATTAACTGGCTAAACTGAAACACTCATATAAGAAAGTTTTGCTCTACAGGCTTTCACTAATTAACATTTGAGGTTTATAGATATTTTGGCACCCGAATAAACAATCACAGAGATGATGATATCTAACATAAGAGTAAATTCTGCACCAGAGAAAGGCCATTTCAATGAACTGGTCAATCTTAAACAAGCTCTAAATGTGTACCTTGAATGTGATTAACGCACATTTATGGATCTGGAATTTCCCAAATCCCTCACTGATGAAGGGGATATTAGCTTTTATCCAGAATCCTTTGAGTTTATGGGGTTTCTCCACTTACAGCAACTTATTGTGGCAGGGTTGTTCTGTATGTTAAATCTTATTCTCCTTTTCCATACTGAGCATTCTGAGCTATGGAGCTTCACCTTGCATTCTTTGATGTCTCTGTTTGACCAGAACTGGCTTCCTTCCAGTAACACAACTAGGGACAGACAGTGTGAGTGTTTTACAGTACAGAGAATAGTTTCAAGGTTAAAGGTTGAAGAAACAGCTGTTTACTGTGAGTGTGTTCAAATTCCCATTGCTACAAATTATCACAGCAAGAAATGGATTTATCTGCATATAAATCCCTCACACATCTACAGCAACTGGTGCAGGGAGGAGAGGTTTTCAAAATGCAACTGATTTTACAGTAATTATTGGAAGCTGGGTTCCATTCTTCCCCTGGAGAATTTTAGAGAATGATGAAAAACAGTATGTCTTCAACTGCAAAGCATGGGAAGGTTTCTCTTAATTTCCTTCAAAATGATCTTTTGTCCAAAATTGTGCTTTTCCTGCACAACTTTCATGTATTAATAGGCCAAAGAACCAGTAAGCCAGAAGGTTAATTGGAATATTTTAATTATTATATGGAAGATATACTAAGGATAATGAACACAATATAAAGAGGCTCAGTGTAATTTTTAATATGTTTTTGATGTGAAAAACGATGCTCAGTACAAAAAAAAAACCTGGAAGAGCCACAATGAGAATTTCTCAAAATACCTTTTAACTGTATTCTTTTGAATGAGTTTTGATTTCAGTTTTTTTCAAGAGAGAAGAACATGGACTGCTTATATGGAAAGAAAAAATGTTTAATCAGTTCAAAGCTATGTAATTCATTCTGCTTAGAATTTATCAACACATAACCTTGCTCAATATTTCAAATATAACAATGCATCAATTCAAATGATCACATAGCAAAAGCTGCTGTCACTGACGAATCAGTAAAGAGCAGAAAAGGGTTTAAAGAACAGATAACAAGCAATTTTTTTTCCCAGAAAATAAAATAATATATTACTAAGGCCCCAAATCTAAACCATTTACATTCTCTCACCAATGCAACTAAATCAGCATGTAAGAAAAAGTCTTACCTTGTTTTAAGTATATTCAGAAACTGCAAGATTTCTGAGAACTGGATCAGTCTAAGGGCTCTTAAAAACCTTAAACCTGCAGTAAAAGAAAACGGTTATAGTAAAGGACAATTCAAATTGTAACAGCATATTAAAATGACAGCAATCAATTAAATCAACATAGGTAACATACAAAAAGTCAAATACCTTTGAAATGTTCTTCCATTTTTAATAGTGCAAGGATCCTTAACAAGTATGTTTCGAATTGTTTTAAATTTATTTCCCTAATAACAGATTTATCCTACCAGAAAGCCTTACTTTATATAGGAAATAATGGGAGGAGACACACAGGCTGAAAGCTAAGGGGGAAAAACCTCACTGAGGTTTCTGTTGGGAGCTGCAGTGCACATGTCCTCCTCTTTCAGGCTGTCAAAGACACAGGCAGGTCTGAAACATCTCAGTCCTCCAAGCTCCAGTGTTGCTTAGTGAGAAATAACAGATCATGGGCAAGAAATCTGATAACCTGGATAAAGCATACTGTATATGCCTGATTAAATTTGGTAAATCTTAATGACGTAAAATCTTTCATAGCAATAATGCTCCCTGTCGCCACTCTAATTTCAAAAAACTCAAGCAGGAAAACAGAGAAATTGTACTTTTTCTCTTAAAAATGACAAATTTATTATAATTCTTACCATCAGTCTATAACTATAGGAATACATTACATAGCAACATTTTTTTTAAAAGTATTTTTACAATGAAATAGCATTTTTATGTTGAAATCAGATTGCGTGCATAGCAATTCCCAGATAACTACAAAGTCAGTGATACAAAGAGAGTGTGTGCAAGAGAAACTGATCAAGAAGATTAAGGGCTTAAATTATTAAAATAGTCTTATGCTGATAGTAAGTGATTTGGCTGCAGATCTTTGGCATATGAATAAAAGTACACTCTGTACTGTACATATGCACAGCTTATAAAATTAAAGTAAAGCTTGAAGGGTCATTTTTATTAGAGAGTACAGGAGCTACATAAAAGTTGTGTAACATGGTATTTCAGCTGTTACAGGAAGGTCTAGAGCAGCTTCATCTCATACATTCTCTTTATTGACATCTATTTTACCCAACTCCAATGCAACAGACTACTTTTTATTTCTAGAAACTTAAGGAAATACTGACCCTGGCAAACATATAAACCTGGTCACAACTTTCATCATCTCACTGGAGTAAGAGGTTCCCCTCAAGCACAAAGGTGCACGTGGCAAGATGTGCTTAAAGCAAGAAGTTTGTCCTTCAATATTCTTGGAAAGTTGTTAAATAAAATATTTGTTCTTATATTTTGCCTTGTTAAGACTCCTAAGTAGTGCTAAAGTACACTCCTGTACTTTATATGGATATAAAGTTTCTTTTAATTACTAACTGTGGGGAACTCTGAAAATTAATCACAACTTGCTAAATGGATTCAAGGACCTAAATGAAAAGCAATAAAATGAAGCTTAATAATACTAAATGTCAGATCCATTTGCAATTAGAGAATGATGACTTTGGATCATATTGATGAAACTGTGGGAGACACACCCCTCTGTTCCAATTCCAGTAGTTACCACAGTTACTACTCCTATTGAAAAAAATGTGGTTAGACAGGGAAGGACCAGATCCTTACTAGCAATCACAAATTTTCCAGCTTTTTCCTCCAGCTGCTTTCCTCACTCTGCTCCCTGTGAACTTTTATGAAAAATGGCTGGGGTGAAAAAAAATCCTGCCTCAAATGTTTTGCACTGCATCTGAAGCTAATGATAAGACCAAGTTAACCATTGCTATGTTTCAAAAAGAAACTTGAGAAACATCTAAGTTAGCAATAAAACTTATATCTCCAAACCATTATAAGGGTTAAGTTACATTTTAATTGCTGAGACATCAAATGATGGAAGAAAAATATTATGCGTTCAATGTATTTTTTGTGGAAAAAGAAAATCCTTATAGGTAAAGTTCTGCATTTTCTGCAGCACACATAATTTTAAAAAACTTTCTTCAGATAATAGAAATAGGTAAAAAAATAATAAAAAAAAATCACCAGAGAGTTTTCTTGGACAGTTTAACTACAGAATAGAACAGGTCTTCAATTATAAAAGCCAAAGGAATTGTTGCATTGCAAATTAATTATTTCCAGTATCCTGAAGTTTCCTAGGCACAAACAGATCTGCTATTATATTCCTATATGTATTTCATTTTATGTGATTTTCATGCAATAGTTTGGGTAGGGAGGAATTTTCAAGGTCATCTTCCTGCGATAAGCAGCTAGATCAGGATGCTCAGAACCCTGTCTTGTCTGACCTTGAATGTTTCCAAGGTTGGGGCACCTACTGCCTCTCTGGGCAACCTGTTCCAGTGTTTCATCATGCTTATTGTAAAAAAAATCCTTATCAGTATTCTAAACAGCCCTCTATTATATAGAAACCACTACCCTTTCTTCTATTGAAGCAGGTTCTGTTAAGTCTGCTCCCTTCAGATACTGAAAAAGGCCACAATAAGGTCTCCCCAAATCCCTCTTTCCTCCAGGCTGAACATCTCCAATTTTCTCAGCCTTTCCTCACAGACAGGTCTTGCATCCCCTTTTTTGTGCTGAGGACCCAGAGCTGGACACAGTGCTGCAGGTGGGGATCACAAGAATGGAGAGAAGGGTAGAATTTTCTCCCGTGCCCTGCTGCCCACACTGCTTTGATGCAGCCCAGTACACAACTGGCTTCCAGGGCTGCAAATTCCCATTGCTGGCTCACATCCAGCTTTTCATCTACAAGCACTCCCAAACCCTCTGCAGGGACTGCTCTCAATCCCTTGCTCACCCAGCTTGTGTTGACACTGGGGGTGGCCCCAACCCAGGCACAGGACCTGTGCTTGGCCTTGCTGAGCCTGAGGATGTACCCACAGACCCACTTCTCAAACTTGTCCAGGTCCTCCTGGATGGCTTCCCATCCCTCCAGGCACATCAACTGCCCCACTCAGCTGGGCGTTTTCTGCTCACTTGCTGAGGGTGCACTCAAACCCACTGTTGCACAACTGAGATGATGATACCTCTTTCAGGTCTACCACCGTGCCAAGAATAGAAATGGTTGATGTTTGCTTATGTATCAAAAATAGAAAGGAAAATTCAGTAATAGGAGCACTAACAAAAATTCCTCCTTTCCCAAAGCTGTTTCAGCTACATATACATGTACATATAAATGTGTACAGATCTCTTTTCTTAGCAATATTTAGGAATGTGTTTTATAAAAGTGGAGAAGAGTAATTTATTTTTCTGTGAAATACCTACAAAACTGTTCTACATTTAAATTATATAATCAGGAGTTGAGATAGGGTAAGTTTCTTACAGATTACAGTGAGGTCCATTCTAATTTCATGGACCCTGTCTGCTAAAGTTAATTGTGAACTGCTAAACAGAATGCTCAGGAAGCACTTGCTACTTTCTCTCCATCAAGTAACTTATCCTTTTCTAGGCAAAGAGTTTTACATTGGAATTTTCTTACAGGATCTGACTAGAATAGGATATAATCTGCTATACTAAAAATTATTAAAAGAAAAAAAAAAGTACCAGATTATTTAGTTTATCAAAAAAATCTTCCTAATAAGAGAAAAAACATAGATAATATAAAAGAAGGATCTCTTGAGTTTCTCAGGCTCCTGCTTCTAAATGGATCACTAAAATACACTTAGGAATCGGAGTTTATCTCAGCAACAATACCCAGGACAAAGTTAAGATACTCACAGATATCAAGACCAGAAAAACCTTTTATGATTATAAACCAAATTCCTTAAACAATGAGACAATGTTTTTTGGTCAATAGTTTCTGCCTCTAGTACAACATTCTGAGTTGTAGGTATGATGATTCAAATTAACATTCAACTCTACCACAGGATTATTTTCTAACTGCAAAAATTTTTCTTTAGATATTGTGTTGCTTGTGAAGCAAACAGATAATTTTCAAAATACACTGGAAATGTAAAATATGTGTGTAAAACTATTTCATATCATGGTGTTCAACCTAGAATCTGTAAAAAAATCTGTAAAAAATGGTCACTAGGAGAGGCCGCATCATGGCAAAACCCCCTGAAATCAGTTTTAGAGAAATCGCTTATCTGTTCAATAGGAAGCAATATGCAATGTTGAACTACCAGGCTACATCTAGAATACAGCAGGAGTACTTTTTTCCTGACTCTTTACTAAGGAGCCCACAAAATGGATGGATTCTTTAGAAAAGAACAGTGATCCTGACATGGCAAATAAACTATGTGGCAGTAGAAATGCAATTGCAGTAGAAAATTATTTTATCTATAAAGTTTACAGCAAAGTAAACAGTATTATTTACAGCTTTATATGACTTTACAGGCAATGGGCTATTTTCCTCTCTTTCATACAGTTTTTTTCCATTGGATTAATATACAGAAGCAACCAGGATTAGTTATAGGCTGCAAACCCCACCCCCCCGTCCCATCACCCCCCCCCAAAAAAAGGAAATGTACCATTTAAAATCTTTGAAGGAAAAGGTGAGGAAATCATGACAACTATACTTATTTTAATGAGATTCTAATCAATAGAAACAGGAACTGGGATATTTCTTCATTCAACATGAGACATTCAATCAACAAGAACAGCACCAAGCATTACATTGTTTCTCACCAATGAGATAGGTAATCCCTTTCTTACTGCCTTAGGCTGTTTATTATTTCTCTGATAGACAATTGTAGACCCAAAATATTGGTGTAAGGGTTCAATATAGAGATTCTGTTTGCCACTTCTATTCCTGAGAAACAATTCACCCATTCATCAGAACAACATCTTCATCAAACTTATCAACAGCTACTTCTACCCTAGATTTCATTAAGACTACATGGTTTACTGAAGTCTGAAAAAAAACCCCAGAATCCATATTTAGGAACCTTTTTTGAGACACAGAATAGAGGGATAATTTTTAAGATGCAAAATAATCCCGTTTTGAACATCTTCGAAGTGCAGCAGAGTTATCTGAGGTCTTACTCCCTGTAGATAGGCTTGAAAATGAAAGCTCAAAGAAAAAAGACAAGAAGAAATAGAATGGGAGGA